TTGACCCCCAACTCAGCACCACTCAGAACGGGGCAGCTTTTTTGCTGTGCGGGCTGGCAGTGTGTTGGGGGGGCACTAAGCTGCAGCACAGAAGTATAGGAGTGAGTGTGGGGTTTTTGCCCCGCCCCCAGGCCTGCCCCCAAATTGTACCCCCTGAGAGGCACCAGTCACCTATGCCAGATTCTTTGAAGGGTGCCCAGACGTGTGAGAAAATAAGCAAATAAGTTCAGCCTCAAGCTTGTTCCCCCACTCCCACTGCCTGGCCCCTTCTGCGAGGATGTAAGCACTGTAACATATCAATTAGTTTTTGAAATTGGGTGTACACTTTTCAGAAAAGTTTTGGAGGAGTGCCTGAAATCCAAAAAGCTTGAGAGCCTTTGGACTTTTCCAGACTTTGCATTGTTCACAGGACATTACACAAGCACCTTGTTCAATTATGAAGTCTCTTGAAGGCGAGATTTAAATCATGTTAGTATTGCTTTTACTGTCTGATGAAGAGAGGTTGGCTTTGAAGTGAATGAGATAGGAGTATATTGAAAGGAAGCACATGTTTGTATAAAATTGTCATTTTAACTAATTGATTTCCCTCATTTTTTTTTTTAAATAAGGCGAGCACTTGCAAGTGGTGAAAACTGACCACCCAAAGATGTTAATGAGAACAAGTGTCCATGAGTACAACTTGAGTTGATGTATATAAACCACAGCGCGGAGGGGAGCAGCTGTTACCACGGCAAACAGCTGAAATAAACCTAGAAGAAAGGGGGCTTGCAGATAACAGTCCTTGCTAGTCAAATGGCTTTTAAATACTCTTTGTGTGAAGATACATTGTTGTTAACATCTGCTCAAAGTTAATCTAAAAGAGTTGTTTGCAAATAGCAAAGCTTTTAAGCACCTGCTGCCTTAGAAAAGATGAACTTTTGTGCGTATATAATGTGCTGTTTTTCCTATTCCCAAAGGGTCATGCATGTACCACCCTATACAAAGCACAAAAAAGGACTTTGTGAAGAGAACTTAGTGGAAATTGGATAGTTATAGAATTCCACCCCCCCCTCCAACTCCCATGTTGGTGATATCACTCCCATAATAAACCCCCTCTATGGCTAATACTTCATCTCCTATAGGAACAGCTCCCCCCTGCTAATACCTGCACAGGTTTTCTTAAATATGAGCACAACTGACAGGCCCTGACCCTTCCAAAGCTGCCTGCTTGGTGGCAATACAGCACCAGTATGCCAGGTATGCGAGAGATGAGACCTTTCTTAAACATTGTCAGCTTGCCTGCCCCCTGTCTCTTTGCTCACAAGCATCCAGGATTTCTAAGGCATGCAGGGCCTCATATGAGCACTTTTTCTTGGTGTGAACTTTATCGAGTAGGAGAGTTTGCTTGATATTAGTTGGTCAAGTAAAATATTTACCTAATTTAAATG